ATCCGGTGCGTTATGGACATGTTCGAGAAAGTGCATTCCATATACTCTTATATGAGAAAATATAAGTTTTAATATTGAAACCTATTGGGTTTTATGTTATTTATAAAGATTTATTAATAAAATAAACTAAGAAAAACTTTTTTTAACGGAATTTCAGACTTTTAAGAATATGTATCTTCAAGGTATCTCTCAGTCTCTTTTAAAAAAATGTTACATCTCATGTTTAGGGTGTTTCTGTGTTGGCACTTTTATATCTTTCTGCTTTATTTGTTTTATGCTTTCAAACAATAAGTGAAAAGCATGCTTAAGAAGCATAAACATCAGGAAACATTTCTTATCTTTTCGGTTTCAAATGCATCAGTTCATATATTCATCATAAATTCTTATATGATAATGCTTACTTACAAGTCGTGCTAAAATAAGGAAATTCGTATTTTGTATTAACTCAAAAAAATAGGATAAAAGTACCGGGTATCTTATTATCTCCCAAAACATTTAAACCTACTTATAAGTATCGGGTATTGCATAATCTTAGGTGTTTGTTTTTTCCCATTTTTATTATTATTTGTCGTTATATTTGTCTAGCTTCCAAGCATGATACAATTATATAAGGTAGTCCATTCGTTGACTTAAGTCCCTTATTTTAATTTTAACATAGTAAGCGTCACAGTCATTTTTTTTGCTTGGCCACTAAAAGGTTAAAGTTTTGAAAAAAAAATCACCTTTCAGTTTGACAGTTTAAAATTAAGGGACCAAACCCGAACGATATGTCAGTGGAATGGACTACCTTATATAATTGTATCATGCTTCCAAGTAATATGAAAAAAGCATGCTTTAAAAGCATAAGCATAAGAAAATATATGTTTTTTTCCATATGAACCAATCCATATTTTGGAAATCTGAATAATATTTTCTTAAGTAACTATTAAAATTACTATAAAAATAACTAAATAACTATAACTGTTTAAATTAATTTTTTTTACAGACAATAGTTATAAATAAAAAATACTAGAATACTAATACTTTACTAATTACTTTACTCTTTTCAACTTAACTATTAAAACTATGTCAAAAATTGTTAGCCCAATACTGATTATATTTAAAATGTAAGCCCAACTTTGTTTCTATTTAAAGAAAAAACCTTTTTTTGGGAAAAAATCCAAAGCAGGCATTGCTTGGATGTTTCCTGCTTGACCTTCCCCTTTGGCCCTCGCCAGTTTCTTCGCTTTTTGGGCCCCCGAAAGTCCTTATCCAGAGCTTTCATGCTCTGCCACATTCCATTGGATATAATAAATACCAAAATGCGATATAAAAGGCGGGCAAAAGAAATTAAAAATGCAAAGCAATGTAAAGCTCTTACGAAATACACAGCAAGAGAAACAATGGGATGAAGCGTAAAAGCAGGGGGGATTCCCAGCAGGACGAAATTATCCTTTATGTTTGTGTATTTTTTTGTGGTGTTTGATCTAGTATGGGTAGGGACACAACGTCGCTCTCACATACATACACGAAATTGGTTAAAAATGTCAAACGAGCCACATTCCTGCTTTGCTTTTGGCCTTGTTGGCCCAAAAACAGCAAAAATGGGAAAGTCGCCAACTAAACCAAACGAAATTGTTTCCAGAATTTTACCAAGAAAATGGATATATTTTCAAAATAAAATAAACAAGGAATGTCACTGACAATTTTAGGTGTGAACCGAACAAAGGCAGAGATGCGCCCTTCTCTGCGCTTCTCAAAAATGTGCTGTACGGCTATGAAACATTTTTATCCAAAACAGTACTTTATTTTGCTTAATTTTTGATAAATTAAAGTCATTTATTAAGAATGGAAAATGTCTTTGTGGGAATCCTATTAGGAAGCTAAAAAAACCCAATATAAAGATTTATTTTATTTTAAGTCCTTCTCCGCTCCAATTAAATTGTTTTCCCAAGGCTTTATTTAAAACCCGAATAACCTAATTAGTCAGAAAAGCAGCCAACTCTGATGGAACCAAACGCTTAGCCTTGGCCTATGCGATGCTATATTTTATTTAATATACATGTATGTGTTTCCATTGAATGTCTTGGCTGTAGCTCATCCACATTCACGTCCCCATCATCGCCTTTATCGTCATTAAACGGGTTCGTCATCATTGCCATAAAACTTTCTTTTAGTTCTGGTTCTGGTGATGGTGATGGTGCTGGGTTTTTGTTTTTGTTTGGTTTTGTTCCTGCCGCAACTTTCGCTGATTTCCCATCTCGCTTTGGCATTGGCCTTTTAGTTGATTTCCGTCCGACACGCTGCCTTCTTCTACTTTGGATGACATTGTTTTTATGACGCGACCTCCTCCCATTTTCCCCCAGCCCTTTTCCTTTTCACACACAGACAAAGGATATGCTCCCACTGCACGGACTATATAGTATATAGATTGTGTGGATGTGCACTGGGAGCCAACTTTGTTGGTGCGGAGGTCGCTCGGTCTTCGTTTCTCGGCTTTGTGCGAAACTGATCCCATTGCAACAAATAGCACAAAGGCTTTCCAAGCCGGCGATGGTGATTTTGATGGGCTGCCAATCACCCATATAGCCATATAGCCATAGAGCCGATGTGCTTTATTGACGCGATGTCTAACAGCAGAGGCCTTGGCTAAGCAATTTGGGTCAAATGCATATCAATTTTGTTGCTAATTAATTTCATCTAGATTCGAGAAAATGTTGGGCAAACTAAAAGCCTCTTTTGTGGTATTAACAATGGAAGGTGTATTCGAGGCCTTCTCTTGCCTTTTCCCCAAGTACAATTTTGGTTTAAAAAATTAGAATAGGTTTAAAATAGAATATTAGACCCTAGATCAATTACAAAAGATGCAAGTTCTAAATGAAGTATAGGTATCAAAAACTAAAACAAATATTATAAACTTAGATCAGACAAAATACAAGCCCTTCTCTACGCTTCTCAACATGTTTTCCTAAATGAAATGTTTGCATAAAAAAATTAGAACAAATATTATAACCTTAGATCAGCGCAGTGAGAAATTCTCTCTACACATTCTCTCTACATATTAAGGCCTTTTATCACCAAAGCGAGAACCAGGTCCTTCTCTGGCTTCTCAAAACGCTTTTCAAAGTGATATTTTGGAAAAAACTTAAAGCACATATAATATATAACGAATATTGGACCTTAAAAAAAAGAATTAAAAAAGAACCACGCCCTTCTCCACTCCAAACATTCCCAAAATGTTTTCTTTAGTTCTAGCGAGAACCAGACCCTTCTCTGCGCTTCTCAAAAAGTCATTCTTAATCCAAATTCCGTGTTAAACACAACAGAAATGAATTCCTCGGACACAGTTGAACAAATATTTACTGATGCGTGAATGGTGAGTGAACATTTCAACGAATTGGCTAACCATCCATGTTGCGTAAATGGAAGGTCGCGTTTATAATCAGATTCCCTGTAATTAAAATTCCCATTAGCGGATTAAAGATTCAAAAATCAAAGGTTGACGCAAAAAAGGAAAACTAATTAATTTATCAGATTGCATGGGGATTTGAAAAAGTTGTCCAGTGCCTACTATTTCCAGTTTGCGTATAAAAATCCACTTGAAGTTTTAAATTAGCTAGAAGTTGCCTTGACTTGCAGTTGACTTTTCATTAGCATATTAGGAATTCCCTTCTGTTAACATTTAAATTTATTTGCTGTAACCTGTAGTCTGCCTTTAAGCAACCAGATGAATAAATCTTAAAGTACACCTGGATTCCACATCTTGGCTTACAATTATGATTTAAAATTCTGGCCCACTAAACTACTGGAGGTGCCCCCTAAAGGCGGCTGAATAGAGTGAGCGTGTCGCATAATGCAGGCCAGAAACTAACCAAAAAGAAAACCAAACCCATAGCTAGGGGCTGGGCCACAAAACATTAGCGGGTCGTTGGCGAAAAACGTTGGCAGCCCCGGCCAAGTCCCCTCCTTCAGCGCCAACTGTTCCGTGTGTTTACCTTTCTCAAAGCGCAGGCTCGCTGTTTTCCCAGCCATCTGCCCAACCTGACCCACCCTTTGCTCTTTGTCCGCTCGACCTGCTCGTCACCCTTGCCTCATATTCAAAAAAAAAAAAAAAAAATGTAATAGGAATCTCATTAAAATTGGGAGGAACAAATTAGGAAGTGCTGTTACATTTTTGGGGATTTCTCTGCGCTTCTCATAAAGGTTAGCTAGGTTTTGGTGCCTTCTCTGCGCTTCTCAAAAAAGTTACCTAGTATTCTCGAACATTTTCTCCAAGTGCATAGCCCTTTGTGAGGCTAAAAGCATTGGAATTTTTTTTTCGGGGCTTGCTTTTTTTAATTGCTTGGAAGGGAGCACGTCACGCGAATCCTAAAGCTATATAATAAGGCGGAAAGGAAGTGGAAACCGCAATCAGAGTGTGCGGCACAGGCCCAGGTTTATAAAGTTATTCATAAACGATGACGAAGAGCCTGATGATGAGGATGATGAGTGGGTGGAGGGCAAAGGCCAGTGCAATTAACCCCTGGGGGGCAACTGCAGTTTCCGTAGGTGAGCTGTGAGCGGGGACTGGGTAGGTGAGAGTGAGTGTGCCACCATCCTAACTTTTAGCCATCTCATCCGCTAAATGGGCGAAAATGCGAATATAATTTATTCAAAAATTGCAGCGACAAAAGCAGCAACCGAAATCAAATTGCGAAATATGCGGAAAATGGTCCCCCATAATCCAAACAGTTGCCAACGGAAAGGAGAGAGGCCTTTCCATCCATCGCTGTGGTCCATCTAAATATAGATCGATTTTCCCATACGCCCGGTTTTGCTTTTAATAGACTTTAAGTAAATGGATTCGCAACGAGCAGCGCTAAATTTAGTATGACCAAAAGCAAACAGTCAACAATCTGGGCTACGCAAAACATTAGGTTACATTTCCAATCGATCTGAAACGTGCCAGATGCCCCGCGAGCGGCATTTTCATGCTCGATGGCCGTTCTACGCGATTCTCATCTAAGCTTCTTGGTCCCTAATTGTTTATTTTTTGGTTTTCTCATTTTATTTACTAATTATAAGCCGAAAAGGGTAAACAGCACAGTCAGTCGATAATAAACAGGATAGAACTAGATGGTGATAGGTTCCTCGTCCATTTCTTCGAGTTCCTCCGGTTCGGCGCAGCACTTCCATGACTCTTGAACGCCAAAGTGGTAGATGGTCTCGTGGAAGTAGTTCTCACCCGGATTGATGAAGATGCGGGGAAAGTCCGGTTGATTCACAGCATCCGGATAGTTTTGGGGCTGCAGGCTGAAGCCGGCGTGCTGCCAGTAGCGAGTGCACTTCTTGCCCAGAATCGGCTCCTCGCCGTGCAGTTCCTGCGGAAAATCGTTGGCGGTGGCAAATCGTATGCTCGGCTGGTTGCTGTAGATTTCCATGAACCGGCCGGATTCGGGATGTAGAAACCGGCCAACATATCGCGTTATATTGGCATCGAACTCCTTGTCGATGGCGTAGCACACATCGTAGCCGGGAATGAAGCTCTTCTCGAACTGCCGAACCCTGTCGCCCATGAAGACGGGCAGCCGGATGTCGTAGACGGAATCGGTTACGTCTTTGAACTGACCCGTGGTCAGGATCTCTCCCTCCAACGTCTCCATTGTTTCGTCCGATTCGATGGTTATCCTGTGCTGGAAGATACCATCGAGCCCAGTGGTCTGACCGGCCAGATTGAAGTAGATGTGGTTGGAGATGTTCACCGCCGTGGTCTGATCGGTGGTGGCCTCGATGCGAATGAAGAACCTATTGTCGTCGTCGATGGTGAAGTGAATCATTACGGTCAGATTGCCCGGAAAGCCCTCGTGCCCGTCCTTCGATACGTGCCGCAGTGTGACCCCGTCGGGCCGCTTCATGTGCAAGTCCCAGATGACCTTATCGAAGCCCACGTAGCCGCCATCGATTTGGTGTTTCTCGTCGAGATTCTTCGAGATAATGACCCGCCGCTCGTCCATGATGAACTCCCCGTTGTTGACCACATCGCAGACCCGACCCACACAGCAGCCGAACTTGTAGTCGCGGTACTTGCTATACCCGGCCACATCGTCGAATCCCAGGACAACGTCCGCCAATTGGTGGTACGCATCGGGGACGTTGATGCTGTGCACTGTGGCGCCCAGTTGGAGTATCGACACCGACAGCCGATTGGTGTTCGTTATCGTATAGCGTCGAATCACCTGGGCCTGTTTATTGAAGGGATTCACCGCAATCCCGAAAATGTCCTCCACAACCTTAACCATGACTTGAAGAGTTGTATTTTGGAATTTGGAATTTTAATAAAAAGAGAAAGATTTGGGTTCCTGTTTAGTAGTCAGTTTGAATAAAAGTTTGATTAGAAAATAAAAGAAGGAAAAGACATACATTTGAAAAGCTAGGAGAGGGGCTTAAAGTCTCATTAGCTTAGATTTGTGAGAAGCGCAGAGAAAGGCCCTATACCCTATACTCTTACCCTAAACTTACTAGTACCACTCCCTTTCCATCATCCACTTAGATAATTGATTTCCCTCCCCAAAAAAGTCTGTTAAATAATTAATCCACCACTGAATCGAACCTCCAACGAATGGTTTCTGAAGGCTTATCATAAATCCAGTTGTTAATTGCTGCCATCAAGGCTGTTTACCTAAGATTCTTTGTTTTTTCTGTTGTGCCACCCAGATGATATCTCCGGGCAGTGCGTCCAATCGAGTGCATGTGTCACCTGTTTGAACATTGCAAAGATATGAAAAATGTGTGGCAGGAGCTGGCTTGCATTGACTTATCTTATCGTACAGTAGAACACACTACAAAATAAAACAGAACAAAGGCGGGGTGAAATTGAATAAAAACTTCCAGGTGTGTGATTTATTGGGGGATCCAGAACCGAACCCGAAACTAGAGCTAATCAAAGCGAAAGCGATATAAGCGAAAGCGGCCAACGGGATCATTATTTTGCCAATAACCGTGACAGGAATTATCATCATTTATAATAGCAATAACTGAATAATTGAATACGCTGCGATATATGACAGAGACAGAACAAAAGAGTAATTGCCATCAATTACTCTGCCCTTGCCCCATTACGGCTTCTTCGACAGCTGCGTGGCTTTTCTACACTGCACTTGGACTTTTATTTTGCATATTGGGTAGATATTTAAGGTGTGTATTAGTATGGGGAATAGTTTTATTAAATATGGAGTCGACTATTTTCCATAAAAAAGGTATAAATTACAAAATTCTTGTTGGGAGTACATGTTTATAATTCTCAACTGGTTATTCTCTAGGAATATTTGTGGAAATATGTACATATTTTAGAATAGAATGAGAATTTAGAATAATTACAAGTATTCCTTACTAGTTATGTAGTGGAAAAAACAGTTTTTAAAAATATGAAAATTTACCATCTATTCCGTTTATAGGAAAATAAATTCCTATAATTCCCAACTAGCATTTGGTCAACTCTTTTTTGAAAAATATCCATAGTAGGCCATATATTAACAAGTCTTTGATTATCATTTAGCTACAATATACATGTATATACATTAAAAACTAGTTATAGTTATTTTTTTTATAGTTGTGAATAGTTTATGTAACATAGTTTATGTAACATGCATTCTTACGATATATAAGTTGGGAAACTAGTTATTTGGAAAACATTTGTATTTTAAATGTATATACTAACTCTTTAATTCATTATTGTAGCTACTAGCTTTTTATGAAGTGACTAATCATAAAGTGACTATGACTAAAGAACCTCAAAAAGTTAATAAAATTTAACACTTTCATTATGTTACATGCATTCTTATAGTTCCCTACTAGTTATTTGGAAAACCTTTTTTTGAAGAATATATTTTAGATGGGCAATACATTACCAACTCTTTCATTCTTAAACTAATTGTTAGCCTTTTCTAAATATCTGAAACCTTAAAAACTTACTTACTTTATGTTACATGCATTTTTATAATACCCAACCAGTTCCCAACACTTCATTAGTTTATTTAACATATATTCTTATGATTCCCAAGTCCATTTTTCAAATACATATTAAAAGATTAATTATTCATCTATTAGAGTCTATCAATTTCCCGCAGTGCACAAAAGAATGACCCGTGCCCGTGCCCTTGCCCCAGCTTGGGGATAATGGCCAATACCTGCAGTTGGTTTTAATGGGTTTTCCGAAGTTGCCAAAGGCTTCTCCGCTCCGCCTGTCCAGGACGTTTCCATTGTGGCCATTGTTGGTTTTCCTTTTCCAGAGGCAGCAGAGCTCTCGGCACTCATGACACGGCTCATTGGTGAAATGTCGAATGGCAAAATGGTGTGCAAATAAATGCAAAATCATGGCTCGTCATCGGCATTTGTCCACTTAACCATTTTGGGCCATTGTTGGTCCGAAAGTTCAATGTCGGCCTTTGTTTGTCGGACAGCAGTGTCAGTGTCGGTGTCGCTTCTCACCTTTGCTATTTTGATTGGACAAGGTAAATATGTATCCTTGCCTCGCTCGGATAAGGACAGTGTTGACCTTGAAATTATAGAACTTCTGGGAGGCGTAAGCTTTCAAAAATCTGCCCGGTACCAGAAAATAATGGCAACAAACAAACAAACAAATAGCTACCCAAAAGGTCAGGGCATCAAATGTACTGGAGTTGTTTGCTTTTAATTAAAGGAAGCCGCTCCTGTAATTAGGTTTCAGTTTGCAAAACCCGGACTCGACCTGGACCCGGCGTAAAATGAGAAATACATTTCCTTTAAGCTCCAATGAAGTAATTCAAGGCATTGCTGAAATGATTGTCACTGAATTCAAAAGCCGGATTGTAATAGATATCTCACATATCTTTTAAGGCCTACTACTTCGAAATTAAATAGAAACTAATAATTGTCCAAAATTTCTAAATCTTTCGTGTCATGTTTATTGTTTATTCTTTGAAACTTTGGCCACAGGTATGTACCCCCATATCCCCATATTATTTGTTTATTTTCCTTCTGCTATAAACTCTGCTCATAATAATTATGAAAATTTGCTAAATAATCGTGATCTGTGCTCTGCAAATTTTCCTACACATTTTCCACTTTTCAAGGTGATTAGCAGGCAGATATTGAGTCCTATGGCCAGTCTAGCAAAAGCCAATCAACACGTTTATTACCCGACTTGTTTATGTTTATATTGACGGAACTCGTAAAGTTTGTTTTGCGCCGTCTCGAGGCCCCCTCCAGGGGAAAGTCTATAAATACTGCCGAACAACTAAACTTTGCTGGGGAAAATATCTCTTGAAATGGTGATTTGCCAGAAGATTAGACTCCTGTCCACGCAATTGATTTCAGATAAAGATTTCAGTTCTGAATCATTTTTCATGTCTTGCCTTCATTGGCATTTCAAGTATGAGGGTATAGGGTATAGGGGGGCTAATCCAAGTTCCAGAGTTCCGGATATGCAAAAAAGGGCAACTTGTAGTGCATATATATGCATTCCCTTGTACGATTTCCATGTTAAAGCCGCCTTATCGGACCCCGATGCCATGTCGAGCCACTGATTATGGCTGTGGGGGTTTCTCGAGTTCGAGGGAGGGGCAGAACATGATTACTTACGTCCTCCCCATGGGCCCCTAAACAAGTTGTTACACTTTGAAATAAACTATCATCTAGGGGGTCTTAAAAGAAAACTAGAGCTTATTTATACATATATGTGATGGTTAGTGGTTATATAGAATATATATCCGACTTATAGTGAGTCGATTCCAACTCCTTTTGAAGTATATACTTCTTGAAATACCAAGAAGAGTGTTTGCCAAGTTTGAGGTTAATAGATTTTAGATTTAGATTAATAGGTTAATATATTAGATTATGGAGACTTTAAAGATTTTAAATATATAATATAATTATTAAATCAAAGCTTTCCCTACTACGAACCTAGAAAAATTATAAACAAACTTCAAAAACCTCCTCAAAAGTTTTCTAAAAAAGACCTAAACTTCAAATAAAAATATAGATTATTAATTTTTTAAACATTTTTATTACTTTAAAGAGCTTAAGAGTTTTGTTTTTTACTGTAGTTCCATCTGTTCCCGCGTTTTCACACTCCCTGCTCGTGTCTAGCCCTGATTTTGCTTTGCTTTACATTTGCAGTGTGGGTGACGAGAGCTATTGGTGGGTGATATGGATGGGGGCTACGAGGGCGTCGGTACCGGGACCTTAAGCTGTCCCAAGTCGTTTCGTTCGTTCGCCTGGTTGGCGGCATATTTGCATGCAAGCATGACTGTACCACCCTGTCCACCTCCCAGCTAGCATTCCACTGAATACGAAAAAAAACACTGCTAGGGCTGCCTTGATTTACCATCGGGGATTATAATCCACAATAACAGCTTACAAATCGCCCAAAGCAGCCAGCACTGCGCTTTCAAATTAATTTCAATTAATTTCGTTCTACTTTCCAATGATTCAATAATCAGGGATTCATTTTTGGGAGCTTGCTTTGGAGTGGAATGAGTGCTTAAATATTTGGGTAGAAGTCATTCAAGTCCTTTATTTTTAAGCGTTTGTTTTAGAACCATTTTTATTTTATAGAATTCATTTGTCTTTAATTTTAAATAAGTGTTATATCATGTTTCTAAAAATAATTTAAATTTAAAATAGGCTTGGGAAAGGATTCAAACATAATATAATTTAAAATTCCTTTCAAAATGCATAGGTACGCGGATAATAATTTATTACACATACGCTCTGTTGGCTTTAAATAACAATTTTTTGTTATTTTTTCTTCTTTAAAGTATAAAATTATTAAAATAGATTTTTCATTAAGATATTAAAAATAAATATGGATTATAAAATGTTAAGGTAAAAAAGTCCTATGTTATGTTTAAGAAGTATGTATTATATATTACTCATACGCTCTGTTGGCTTAGGATGAAAGAGAACATTATTTTATTGTCCAACATTTTGAGCTAGGTTTTTCAAAATTTAAAAAAAAAGGAAATTATAAAATATTAAACTACAAATTCCTATGAATTAAATTTATGATGTATTAAATATAACTCATTTGACTTTTAATAAGCTAAAAAATTTCTTATGAATTCTATCTATGATATGTTGTTTATTAATATGTTTATGCGATGCTGAATTCACGAATTTATTTTGCGAATTTTTACTCATTGATGCTGAAATTATAGTTAACTTTCGTGTGTTGACGCATTTACGATATGGCTATTATGCGCACTCGAATCGGCTGAAATCGCGAAATGAAAACGTGAATTTGGCATCGCATAAACACAGTAATAGTATATGTACATATATCATATGTCATATATTATCCATACGCACTGCTGTCTTCCATTTGAATACTCTTTAAATATAT